GCTGCTGCAGCTGCGGTTGAGCAACACCAGTATTCCGGTAGCAGGGTCACGGTAAAATGCTCGGGTCTCAAGTTTTCTGGCCGCAGCTCTGGAGCAGGTGTCGGTCTATTTTTTGGAAAGCTGGAGAATTAGGAAATTTAAATAAGACCTCAGATTAGCCTTCGGGAAGGAGGCGAATTTACAGTAGTGTGGTTGTTACTTTACGGATTGCTAACTTTGCCCTTTGAACTGAATCAATTATGTGAAAACTCATGGAAAAGCATAATATGCAGAGTATTCTTAATCTTAATTTTGCAACCATGAATGTCCGTACAAGTACAGGATATTTTGCCTTCCTGCATGTTTTGGGTACAGCCCTTTCTGTTGAAGCTCTTCCTCCTGTCCTGCGTGCATTACTTCCAAAGGTCACTAGCCTGTGTGCCCTTCTCCGAAGGCAGCCGCGGAGGTCTCCCTGGCTCTCATCGCATCTTGTCCCTTTAATCACTTAAAACTGCCATTTGGGAATGAGCAGCAGTGAAGCCCACCAGCTAGGTACTACGTGAATAAGAGTCGTGGCCAAGCTTTACTTTTGACTGTTCTGCTTGTAAGACGTGAGGTTCCTGAGTGTGAATATCTGTTTCATAGCATCGGTATGGCATCGACGTTTTCCTTTGCCTTAAGCACCTGGGTGGGTTTGGGCGTTGTTTTGGGGGAGGTTTTTTGAGTGATAATTCTGGGGTTAATTGGCCTTTTATTTTAAATATAACGCTTATCTTCTGCGTGTGATGATTATACAGTGAATAGTTACATAAAGTCGTTCTAATGTGGTAGTTTGACTGAAATATAGTCCTGGGCTGAATGGGAGCTAACTAGCCATTTGATAGATTTTTGCATTTCCTGCAGTGGGGATGTGATGGGAAAATGAACTTCATTGAATAGAGTTCAGCTGCTCCTGTAAGCCACCACTTGCCTTAAATTGAAATGACATGAGAAGCCTGTCAGCGTTTCATTACTTCCTTCTGTTGTGCTGATGGTATGCTAAGATCACCATCTGTGTTTTTCTTCTGTCAGGCACACAAGCGCTGCTGAAACTTTAGAGGAATATTCTGAACGTTTTTTCTTATCTTCACAGGTCATGCAATATTTAAACTTACATATCTAAGCAATCATGACTACAAACACCTTTACTTTGAATCAGATGCTGCTACTGTCAATGAAATTGTACTGAAGGTGAGTATTAAATTTTAACGTGACCCAAAATTCTGGGTGTCGTTACCACTTGTTCGACATGAAGGTATTTGAGAGGTTCAGGAAACCCGTGAGAGGTGTGATGCCTGAGGAGCACAAAGGTGCTTTTAACTCGATAGCGGCTGAGCAGCTAGGCTGACGTCTCCGGGGGCGGCGGGCGCTCCGGCGGTGCCGGCGAGGCGTCGCGGGCAGCG